CTCGGAACCCGTCTAAGTAGATAACTAAGATATTATTAACATTCATTTCATGGTTTTATCCAAAGGTCAAATGCATAAAGAACCACTTTTCATAAACTGATAAAAGATTGAGTTCAATCACCATCAAGATCACTTTGCGGAGTATTGTGATAATAAGTGCAATACAGCTTATATCCTTGGGCATGAATACATTTTGGGCGCCAGTCACTCAGAGTCATCTTAACCCTCGCTTAGCTGCTAAGGCTTAAATGACTCTGAGTTGGGCTCAAAACATACTTATGCCGTCAAACGTAGCCTGTACTGTTTTAACGAATAAAGTTGATTGGTTTTCAACTTTAATATTCTCTTTGGAAAGTAAAGTATTAGCGAATCTCCCAAGGTTTGTCCATGATTGATCAAAATTGATGTAGCGTGACTGTGAACCTCATTTTCGACAGAGCTGTTGCCACTTAACAGTAAATTTACAAGTAAAAAAAGCACTTTAGTACTATGTACCACAAGTAATTATGATCAGAAAAAATTTATAGACTGAGCAATGTGGCTCTGCGAGCTGTTTTGTCGTTCATATAGTATTTAAGAAACCAGACAATTATGAGAAACTCCTTCGTGGAGTTCAAACTAAATTCATGTGCTGAACTACATACTGCCAGAAATAGCGTAAGCTGATGCAAGTTCGCCAATGCTTGTGACAATGCACAATTTTCAAGTGTTGATGACCTCTCTATCGCTGCAACATAGTGGATATCTAGACAGTGCATCAGCTCAATATGCCTTTTGAGGTACATGTATTTAGATTTACTCCTTCACCCCGCACGTGAATTAAGTTGTCATCAGTTTTTGCTAGATAAGTTATTGATGCTACTGGTAAAGGGTGGAACAAGTCAAACTGATTAAAAAATACACAAAATCAATATTGTGAATGAGAACTGTGGTATTTCCTTTTAGCAATGCGGACTGGAACTCAAGATCAGCGCTGGCATTTGGCCTCCGGATACATTTGATCCATTATTACCTTTGGCAGATTTCATAAACGTAACAGTGATACCAGAACATGAAGTGCTTGACATTCCATCCGAGTGAGCATGAGTGAGACTACCGGTTGTGGTTAGTTTAGATGTTGCTGTGTATACTACACCTGCACGAAGAGAAATCCCTGAAGAAAAACGGACCTCAAACGTCTTAACTGAGGATGTGGTGTAGTAGGATCCAGTCTTTTCTGCGATCAAGGAACTTCCACGATACAATCGGATGGTGACCTGGAAAGTGGTGGAACCGCTTGTGACTCCCCACAGACGGTATCCCAGCAGTGTGACGTCACTACTTGTTTGGAAATCGATTGCATCAATATTACCATGGTTGTGGTACCAGCCCTGACTTGGACTTTTAGATCTGCTGCGCCAACAATCATAACCTATTGAAAAGAAATTAATACAGATTCAGAAGCAAACGATAAGAATGATATTTTTAAGTATGTTCATTGTAAGAAATATACAAGTTTTTTGAAAGACATGTTTCGGCATGCATATGCCATCTTCATTCAATGAGTAACTGAGTGTGAGCAATTATATAGTATTTTCTCTACTGCGAGGATCGTGCATCATACATAATTATATAGTATGCAAGTAGATGAGTAAATTATTTACAATATGATGTAATACAAAAGCGGGTACTAATTACAACGTGACATCAAAACATCAAAGGTGCAAACTAGAGCGCTAGAAAAGTGTTGTAAAGCTGTAATTGATTGCTAAGTTCAGGTTTCATCTTATTTCTATAAAAATTATTGACAACTCTTCGAGTGATTGTATTTTTTCAGTTTTTCATAAAAAAAAACCTACACTGGTCTCCTAACAAATTTCTTTAGTTTTATTCCATCGTGCTATAAAATTGGCCTTATCCGAACTTTAATTGACCAAATCTACAAAATCAACAACACCTCTTCCGGCCTTCAAATCGATCTTAATAAACTTTCCGACACTTTAAACTGACGTAATTCTTTTCCTTCGCATATTATTGACAGAACTTTCAAGCGGTATCTTGACGGGTCTTCCTCTCAAAAAAGCCGGAACATTAATTATGACAATAATACACGTTACTTTAAATTCCCTTTTGTCGGCTATTATTCTAAAATAGCGAACCTGAAACTCCGACAACTCACTAAGCGCTTTTGCAAACCGGACCGAAAAATCAAACTAGTTTCCACTTTTTTTAAAATTAAAAACATGTTTAGTGTTAAAGATCGTACTCCCGATGCTCTAAAATCCATGGTAGTTTACCAATTTTCTTGTGCAGGATGTAATTCCCGTTATATTGGCGAAACTACTCGCCACTTTTCTACTAGGATAAAGGAGCACACGGAAAGCGATAAAAAATCGCATATTTTTAAGCATTTCAACACATCTCCTTCTTGTAAGAACAAATGCTCCCCTTCTTGTAATAGTATTCTGGATTCTGCTAACAACTCAAGTGATTTAAAACTCAAAGAAACCTTTTATTTAAATAAGATCAAACCTGATTGACAAACAATTACACCATTACACACTTTTCTAGCGTTCTAGTTTACACCTTTGATGTTTTGGTGTCACGTTGTAATTAGTACCCGCTTTTTTATTACATCATATTGTAAATAATTTACTCATCTGCTTGTATACTATATAATTGTTCACACTCAGTTACTCATTGACTGAAGATGGCATATCCATGCCGAAACATGTCTTTCAAAAAAGTTGTATATTTCTTTCAACATCTATCATACTTGCTATTATTGCGACCTTATGTTCATTGTGCTTGTAAATAAAGATTGTACGCGTTATTCTTTTTCTTTCAGACCTTTGAACTAACCAGCGCTTAAGTGTTGTAAAAAAAGCTGGTGCTTTATATGTACTTAATATATGGCTGTGTATCACAAGGACTGGGAACTACCGAATTCACGAATTTGATTGGCTGAAATCAATATTGAAAGCGGTCTAGATTATCCCATCTAGACCGGCATCTAGACCGGTCTAGAAAAAAAAGGTACAAAGAATATAAAAAATTGGCAGATAAGACACAGCCATATAATAAACATCTTATTAATCGAGCTAGGTCGTTCTGTATGGAAGAATCTTGACCTCGGTCGCTAGTACAGACCTCACTGCGTTCGGTCTGTACTGGGGACTTCGGTCAAGATTCTCCCATAAAGACCTCCCGCTCGGTTAATAAGAACTAATTATTGACCGTTTAGCGCTACATACGTCAGCTTTCACTAACGTTTTGTATGGGATTGCGCAAGCGGGGACGGACTGGTCGTATGACAATTATTTTTACAAAAGGAGATGTTGGTCCTTTCATGGTCAAGTCTATTTAATTCATCGGTTTATTGTTGGATTTTGAAATTTTTCAGGAGAGTTTATCAGCTTAGCAAATAAATGACATGCCCAGCTGTGTGACGTAACTACTTGTTTGGAACTCGATTGCGTCACTGATTACGCTAGGAAGGTGGTGCCAGCCCGAACTTGTGCCAGCAGTCGTGATTTATTGAAAAGAAATTAATATAGCTTTAGGAGAAAATGTTAAGGATGATAGCAGATTGTAAGCGTTTTCTCTTTATACCGTTGCACTATCCAGAAGCTCAGGTGTTCATGTGAAGATAATTAGTACATAGTTTTTTTGATGAAAAAAAGATAACTGTCAAATTTATTACAACCACCGGTCTTAAACAGGCGCATTATTTATGGTAACTAAACTGAGTGGAGTGCAATGTGTACAGGTGGTATCATGATTTTGAGCGCAATTTGTTGCTAATAAGCACGAGTAAATTTTTCAATGATAGTCCAAAAAATTAGCAAGTATGAAAAAGCATCACCTAGAAAGCATGAAAAAGCATTACAGAAAGTAAAGACAGGCGAAATCATGAGAGCGCGCACAAGCTATTCATAGTTTTGCACTCGTGTTAAAACTTTGCACTCGTGTAACATGATAAATGACCTCGTTTTCAGCCAATCAGAAGGGCGTAATTTTTTTATGTATATTATTAGTATAAGTAATCACATGGTCACGAGTGGAATTTGGCATAAATCAGTAGGGGTAAATTTTTCAAAGGTTAACCAAGTAAAAAGTGTCCATAGAGCGAGTGCAATTTGTAGTCATCCGAAAATCAACCAGCGCTGATTCACCCAAACTTTCACGAGGTATATCACGTGATTACTTGCTAATAATATACAAGCAAAAAGATGTGCCTGTTTTTTGCCTCAGTTGTTTATATTTCGCGTCATAACGCATTGGTTTGGCCGCCTGTTCTTTGCCCTGCTGCCGGAGTAGTCGAGCTTTTCCCTTAAAAATTTATACGAGCTTTTTAACTTTTTGCCACCAATGACAGAATGTTTGTACTCTTCCTCAGCCATGTATCGGTTAAAAGCAGTTACAATTACACGAATGATACTGCGCTTGTAACCTTTCCTGTCTTTCTTAGTATCTACTGCGCAAAGCTGCTCGTGAATTTTTTTCAGGGACTCCGGTTGATACTTTTTAAAAAGCATCGTCATTACAGTTTTTGGAAGCTCAAGACTTCCAATTGTTTGTGCTTTGTATGGTGCTTTTTTACTTTGCGCTCTCACTCAAACTTTGAATTAAGACATTGTTAATTTGTCGTAATCCATTTACCATTTTCTTTCGTTTTGCTTTCGCGACTTTCTTGTCAATCCATTAAATTTCAACTTTCCCACTGAAATCTTATGGACGTGTTCTCGGTCAATTGGCATGATAAAATTACAAAATCAAACCTTTAGCTGGTTGTTGCTGTACTACCACGTTGATGGAGGCTTTCTTTGTACCCAAACTGTTTGTGGCTTAACATTCATACAGTCCACTGTCAGCGGGGCAAATGTTATTGATCGTCAGACTTCCATCATTTGTAACAGTCTTCCCTGCTGGTAGAGACGTTCCTAATCTGCGCCAGGTTACTACAGGAGTTGGAATCCCTTCAGCTTGACAGGCCTGTTGGAAGGTAGAGAGCTTCTTTGGTGTGGCGAGGGATGGAGGTACCACAGTGAAAATAGGGAGACCTGTATCAAGCCAGCAAAGGATGACGGTGAAGTATGAATGCAACATAACGCGAGACACTTTCATTAAATACTTTGTGATCCAAAATTAATAGTGTTATGGGAAAATACTCTTTCTGGTTTTTATATTTATTTTTATTTTTTTGGGGGGGGGGGGGTAGAGGAATATAAACAGGCCAGGGTATTTTATCTCGACGATATGTCCTTAGTGGTCTGGTTTAGACATTTTTAAGGCGGTATTTGAAAAACAGCTACGGCTTAAAACAGTTTTGACTGATATTCGTGACTAAAGAAATGACAATGTGAGAAAAGACTCCTTCGTGAAATGAAAATTGAAATACCTTCCAAACCAGCTTTTACGAATTGTGTTCTCACCTCGAACGGTTAAATTTCTAGAACTTTTGTGCGATCCAAGAACATTCGTCGCGACACAAGAGTAAGGTCCAGCATCACTGTAGTTCAAACGTTTAATTGTCAATTTGCCATCTTGAATCAAGTGTTTTAATCCAGATACAAGCTTCTTGCTCTTGAATCTCCATTCGAACTGGGGACGTGGGTTCCCAGAAATCGTGCAGTAAAACATTGCATTGCTTCCTTCATCTTGAGTCTGCTCATCAGGTGATATCATGACTTGTGGGGCTGATATTGACTGTCCAGGTCTACCAGATGGTCCTGGCATACCTTTCGGGCCTCTCTCGCCCCGGTCCCCTTTCACTCCTTTTGGTCCATTAGGTCCAGTCATCCCCGGTTTTCCATGTCTACCTGGTGGACCCATATCACCTTGAAGTCCTCTCTTTCCTTTTGGTCCCCTCCTGCCACGAGTTCCTTTTACACCTCGGACACCAGGGCGTCCGGGGGGCCCCGCTGGGCAGACTTTTTCGGTTGACTTGCAATACTTAGTGGGAATGAGTTGTTCAAAGTGCTTGGTGATTTCATTGCGTACCTCATCAATTGAGATGACATTTGAAACTTGCCTACGATTCCTTGTGGCTTCGCTAATTGTGTCGCGCTCACTTTCACCTGAGGGAAAAAAGAGAGTTATCTTCCTTCGTTATTTAGAATGATATTTGATTACAGAAACTTTTCGTACTGACGAGAAAACGGAACGAAGCCAATTTTCATACTAGGCTATTCAGCATTTTGCAAAAGCAAATCAATAATAGATTAATTTACTCGATGTTGCGCTCAAGTTACGCGCCAAGTTATGTGACAACAAAAGTTCATGACTCCCTTGGCAAACTACGCTACTCGCCTTCCCTCTTAAAAAGGTTGCATGTGAGTTTGCCTCAGCTTTAGTAAAATTAAAGTTTCGAAAATTAACAGTGGACCGTTATTTAGTTTTCAGCATCAAAAAGGGTCAGTTAAAAGAATATCCTAGATCGTCTCAGCTTTGTCTCCCAGAATATCCCGACATTGCAGATTCACCTTTTTCCTTCATCAGTACGCGCGATCAAAAGATTTTAGAAGGATTAAGTGTCATCAAAGAACAGATTTATTCTAAATAGTCACGTTTTTTTTCTCTACCTGGGGGATAGTCATGCTTCTTTGAAGTCGCATCAGGAATCTTGACCTTCCTCGCAAAAATTGGATCAAAATCCAATGGCGGCCTGACGGACATTTCGTCGTGATTTGTATCGGAGCCAGTCTTTAAGTACAGCACTGCTTTGTTGACAAAACCTTCATCTGTTTTTCCAACGCTAACAAACGATGGTTTGTAGATTCGTTCTTCAACAGAAGAATTATACAAGCAAAGACTAAACTGAGAGATAGATAAGAAGGTTTCAAGGAAGGAAGAAGATCACGAGCGCGATGCGCTTTGGAAGACTTTGAGTTCGACTCCATTTTCTCGCCTCTTCTGTCTGTCTGTCACGTTTTAAAACAGGAAGACGAAGGTCAATGGAAATCTGCCAAAATAATTTGATCCTCTTTGAACAAGCCGAAGCAGATAACAACTTACTAATGTCCTGCGTAGAGAGAAACAGATAAGCCAAATTTGTCAAAAATTGACAAAAACAAGTCTTAGCGTGACATCAGTGTAACCAGAAAAGAGAGCATGGAAATGTCAGCGTTAATTTCCATTTTTCCAAAATTAAGAACTCCTCAAACGTTTAATTTTTCTAATATCACAATTAGTTATCACGTGCATAACGTCTTACCGCTGCTGTTCACATGACCATTCATTTATCAGTGACAAAGGAAATGTGATGATACGGTTAAGTAGGGAAATGTTTGCTTTCTATAGCACAGAGCGGCATTAGCTGAACTAGCGAAAGGTCGTAAAACTTTCTACAGATAATTCAATATTTTTCCGAGAAAGTTACAACTATTCACTGATATTTCCTCAATCGAAATAAGTTTTTTCAAAAATTTTAATGATCTGGCGCTGATGTTGTTATTTCTGAAGCCGTTGTGCTCAAATCTGTGAGTCTCATTTTCAATAGAGGGACGGTCAGTTTTATATTTACCACGACTACTTCAGTTTGCCATCTACCACCTATTTATGATCAGCGAAAATTATGGACTGACCAGTGCAGGTGAGCTACTTGTTGTGTCTCTTATTTGATATCGAACAAGCTAGATGAATATGAAATAGTTCAGTTTAATGTGGAATTTCGAACTGAATTCGCGCACTGTACAACATTCTGTCAGAAGTATTAGAGCCTGATATGAGCACGTCGATGACCAATAATAACACGTAATTTAGTGTTTATACCTAACACTTTTGTGGCAAGTCTATCAAAGCCTGGGCTGATCGAAGGCAAAAGACTGTGATGAAGCGAAAAAGCCTAACCTTACTCTTAGCTTTTCTTGACGATTGTTTTGGGACCTCGATTAGCCCATTCCCAAGTTTCTCAGGTGAGATCGCGAAATGACCTTTTCCAAGAATTTAAAGGAACTCTTTTTCACGAGACTCGCCAGCGAGTTCAAAGTTGCATTTCATTGGTTGGTGGCATGACCGCATCATGGAACCCGCTTAACGGAGGCGCGAAAACTATGAATTTCTTACGGGGGCCGAAAACGCGAGGTTTGTTGTAATGCGAGTTTTCCCTACCTCAACAGGGTACGTATTTTTGTCGGATTTTGATGAAACTTGGTTAGAATATTCGTCAGATATCAATGACCAAAAGAGGGTGAGGCTTCAACGAAATTCGAAATATTTTTCCTATGACTTCCCGGCGCGTGACAACAACTGAAGTATTTTCTATTGTCCAACTTTAAAATAGATTTTCTCGGGAACCAATAAGACTATCGCAAAAGCCTCACACCCTTTTTTAAGCCTATTATCCGGCTGTTGAGTGATGCGGTATAATTTGTTTGGATGTCCGCGTTAAAGTGATGGCTAGTTATTCAGTCACTCTGAAATTAAACACCGTAAGTTGTGTCTCTACAGGCTAGCACGCCACCCACCAAAATACAAACTGTCAAAAATTGTGTTATATTCAGAATATATACTTTCTAAACTTAACAGTGATAGATTGTTTCCCGTGGTTTATTTTAAAGTAGCGTGCGTCACACAATTTTGTACATGTATATAATGTAATTTGTTGTAATCTCAATCTTCTAAAGCCCTCCGTGTCGCTCCTACATCAGCAATAGCGGTTGATGTGTTAGAGTTTTATTTAACACTCCACGTACAGTTAACAATTTGTTTATTCTGTTCTTCCTATTTCCAACTTATTGCCTCGGGAACTAGATCACACCTGAGTGGTAATGCTGGTCGCCAGCTTATAAAGGTGACACTTACTAAGCTGTCAATCCTCATACCTCGTTATCTTTTCTCACTTAGTTAATCCCTGTGGGATTTAGACCGCCGGTTTGAAAGATGAGCTTTTGTTCAAGAGTTTTACGGCTTTCCGTGCTACCTAAGTGCAAGGAAAGACCGCAGATTACCATATGTTGCTTAGAATGATTAGGTAAATTAAAGTGTCGAGCGACTGGTTTCGATGTGTCCTTGTCATTCTTTTCCACGTCGCGAAGGTGTTCTCGGAATCGGTCACCTAGTCTTCTGCCTGTTTCGCCAATGTATATCTTTTTGCAATAAGTGCAAGTTATGCAATAGATTACATTGGCGGAGGTGCACGTGAAGTGATCGGTGATCTTAATGGATCGTTTAGGTCCCGATATTTTATCAGTGTTGTGAATGAAAGGACACGCTTTGCATTGTGCACGGGTGCATTTAAAAGTGCCTGATTGGTCATCAGTCTGAAAAGGACTTCTAACCAAAAAATTTCCTATATATGTTTTTGTCGTGTTTGAATGAAATGAGCGGAGGCTGCGAAAAGATAGTGCTTGTCTCTGGATCGTTTTGAAGTAATGTAAGAGAATTTAAGAGAAAATAGCCTTGGAAGACTGTTACATAACAACAGAATAAACAGAAAATTCGGAGAAGAAAGGGCGTACACAAGTACCGCCCTTAGAAAAACTACAACAAGTTATCTAATTAAATTTTCGGTGCGGAAAGTGTAAGGCATGAGCTGTTTTCACCCACAACCACCTCTGACAGAAGGAGGTGTTGTAGATGCTAAATTGAAATTTAAGAAATATTTTTCTGATCGGGAATTCGACATGAAACTAACTCGAAAGGAGCCTGGAAAAATCGAAAACATAAGAAGGGGTAATTTCCAAGAAATTCCTGTACAAGATAAACTATTACCAGATCCAAATACCCTCTTATTATGTCACCGAGTGGGTAATTCATAATTGAGATATATACCTGACCGCCAGATGATGAAATACTTCACGGTAAGTTTTAATCACCGTAGAAACTGAACATCTGCTTTTACGTCAAATTCGCGAGAGGATAATACGTCAACAGTTAAATACAAACTTAATTTTGTGTAGTTAAATGGACTATATCCTCTCAGAAAGAACAGATAACAATTATTCTACTTATAAGGTAAGATCACCATCGAAATAAAAAGTTATCAACTACTTACAATATTTTTTTAACTGAATGGTTTATACTACTATGTAGTTGCCATTCATATTCCCAACGCCAAAGCAAGGAAGCTCTTTTAACGCTTCTTGATAAAATATGGAGCTATTTTTATCGTTTAACAGACGCAATTCACCGTCAGAAACTGCCTACTTTATTGTTGCTGATTAGCTGCATGAAATTTAGTTGGTACAACGATAAAATGTATTCATCGGTATTTGCTTTACAAGTAATATAATTGAGATCTTCTGGTAATGGGTGAAATATCTCAAACCAATAAAAGTACACAAAATTAGTATCATTGTTGATAGAAACTATGGTATTTCCTTTTAGCAATGACTGGAACTCAAGATCAGCGCTGGTATTTGGCCATTGGATACATTTGATCCATTATTACCTTTGGAAGATTTCATAAACGTGACAGTGATACCAGAACATGAAGTGCTGGACATTCCATCTGATTGAGCATGTGTGTTACTACCGCTTGGGGTTAGTTGAGATGTTGCTGTGTATAAAACACCAGCACGGAGAGAAATCCCAGAAGAAAAACGAACTTCAAACGTCTTAACTGAGGATGTGGTGTAGTAGGATCCAGTCTTTTCTGCGATCAAGGAACTTCCACGATACAATCGGATGGTGACCTGGAAAGTGGTTGAACCGCTATAGACTCCCCACAGACGGTATCCCAACAATGTGACGTCACTACTTGTTTGGAAATCAATTGCATCAATTCTGCCAGAGGAGTGGCCCCATTTTAAACTTGGACTTTTGGATCTACTGCGCCAGCACACAGGATCTATGCAGAAAAAAATTATATACTCTCAGAAGAATATAGTAAGAATGATTGTATAGAATGTAAGCGGTTTTTTTTAATTTTTACTTCTAGCTTAGAATCTACCCAGCAGTTCAGATCTTCATGGCCTCCATCTAAAGATAATTGGTACATCATTATTTTGACGAAAGGAGATATTCATTCTACTGAAATCGACCAAGTCGATCTATTATATCCATCGGTCATACATACTATACAAAGGCATTAATAATGGAACTTGATTGAATGCAGTGCAATTTGTATACTTTTGGTAATCACATGTTTCGAGTGCAATTTGGGATAAATCAGGGGGGTGAAGTTTTCAAAGGCTAACTAAATAGCACGAGTCCCTACGGCGAATGCAATTTGTAGTCATTCAAAAATAAACGGTTGCTGATTTATCCCAACTTTTACGAAATAAACTACGGGGTTACTTGTTAACAACATACAAGCAAAAGTGTGTCGTTATAACGGTTTTTGGAAAGCCCAAGGCTTCCAAACTTTTAGCTAGTTGTTTGTGCTTTATAAGGTGTTTTTTTTTCTCAGCACTCTCCCTCAGTTATGAAGTAAAACATTGTTTATTTGCCTTTACTCATCCACCATTTTTTCGTTGTGCTTTCGAGACTTTCCTGTCAATCCAGTGAATTTCAACTTTATACGCTCAATTTTAACTTTTTTCACTCAATTTCAAGTTCGCATTGTTTGGGATTAATTGACGGGTTCTCAGTCAAAGAGCTCGAGTATGCTGAAAATACAAAATTAAACCTTGCTTCTGTACTTTGGTTATATCAACTGAGTTGAAATTGTAAGTTGGTCACCGTAAAGAGTTAAAAAGCTGACATTTCGAGCGTGAGCCCTTCGTCAGAGTGAATGGAGGAATTGTGGGTTGCCTGTGGGTTTATATGCAGAAAGTCGAGCTACGCTAGTAGTGGCAACATGGTGACGAGAACTACACGAAAAATTAGTAAAATGAGAAGCGTTCGTTGATACTATCGGGTTAAGAGTGCCGATTTGACAGATTAACTTTTGTTTAAAAGTTTTGCGGCTTTCCGAGCTGCCTAAATGTAGGGAAAGACCGCAGATTGCCATATGCTGCTTAGAATGATTAGGTAGATTAAAGTGTCTAGCGACTGGTTTTGATGCGTCCTTG